TGCAAAGTATGAAAAAATATTGGCAGATAATACTATCTTATCATAGACGATGACGGTATGCATGTTCAAAATCATAAAAACAGTGCATGTACTGTGTTTTTACTTTTTTACCATAGCGATTTCACTAAACAACTGAATATTGTTATTTAAGAAATACTATTACTTCATATTGCTAATGATTTTTCTTAATTAAAATTATACTAGGTGTTGCCATCAATTGAATTCTTACATTTAGTAATTGATGGCCAAACAAGAAATGTGGTGCACCTACATGAAAGAAACTACACTTGTGGGAGGTTTCAGCTAGACGATATTCCATGTCCACATGCAATGGCAGTTATACAAAAATTCCATATGGATTCATACAAGTATTGCTCGGATTACTACAACATAGACTACTTGCTGAAAACATATGAGATACCAGTAAATCCATTGCCTGATGAAACAACGTGGCAGATTCCAGAAGATGTTTCTTCGCAGGTGGTACTGCCACCAAAAGGAAAAATCAAACCAGGAAGACCTAAAAAGAAGAGAGGCATAGGAGGCTGGGAAGGAAATACAGTTACATGTGCACTATGCAGGAGAAAAGGACACAACTGGAGAACAGGCCGAAATATTCCAAAGAGAGATTGATATAATGCTTCAATGTTTTTATAGAACTCATATATCGTAGAATCATAGCATTTGAATTGCAAAAAAATAAAATGCATTTCTTGCACTAGACATATATTTGGTATGATGATTCTTTGAGAAATTACTTTTTGGCAACAAATTTATATGGCTACTTGTATTTTCAATAAGAATCTATTTATTTTCTATTTTAGTATATAAAAGTAGGATGCATTTACATCTAGTTGCTGCAGGAAAAAAAATGCTAAAATATATATGTGATACCCAAGTGGTATATCTGTATACCTTATTGGTATATCTGTATATCTTATTAGTATCAAAATATGTATAGAAATAGAAGTGGTGCTACAAATGCAACATTTGTACATACTTTGTTAACAAAATGGGCACGCTTTGCAGCTCATGTCTGTATTGAAGTATAACAAATTGGAAGCCATTTACATGCAGTTATTGTACATCATCAGGTACATTAATACAAGGTGATACCCAAATGTTATATTTGTATACCTCGCTGGTATATAACGGTATTGCACTAATATGGCTAAAACAAAATATGCGCAGAAATACAAATGGTGCACCAGATACAATGTGATACCCAAAATGCGCACGCTTTGGAACTCATGTAAGTACTTACATCTAATTGCTGAAGGAAGAAAGGTGAGTCAAATACAACGTGATACCCAAATGGTATATCATTATACCTGATTGGTATATAATTCTACTACACCATCTATGCTAAAACTACAGATGAACATTAAAGCTTAGACCATCATCACATTCGAAAGCAGATCATTTAACTTCTGTCACAACTACTTTGTATATTGTTGGAAGTGTTTGCTTCATCTGCCCCTAATTTTCACTTGCAGAATCCATTAAACCTTACCCTCTAGCAAAGGAAT